TTAAAAGAAAATTAAAAACCCAAACAAAAATATTAAACTTGGTTTTATATGTTGAGGAACCAGATATTCAAACTGAGGAAATACAAATAGTTTAAGACAAAAATCACCATTTCAGACATGTTATCTAGTGTCCGGCCTTTCATTTCATCCATTTCACTCTTTACTGCAGATACTCTTTCCAGCTCCTCCTGGGTGTAACTATATCCAGAAATACCTTTCTTGTCTTCAATGGCTTGCTGTAAACACAAAAAATAAATGCTGAATGTGAGTCTATTAACCAAGTAACACAGCAAATTCCTTCATAGAGCCAAAATATTGTAAGAAAGCGGAAAAGGTAAGTACTGTAATCAATTTATTTTAGAAGTGATTAATAATCTAGCTGCCACAAAAACTAACTTTTTATCTAGTGCCTGTACAGTAGGGTAATAACAACTTTCTGTAAATATACTATTTGGTCATCCAGTGCCCAATGAAATTAACAGAAAGTTTCCACAAAGTAAAGTGAGCTTTAGGTCAGGCTCTGAAGAAGTTCAATATGTAAATTCCAGATGCTTAATCTGAAGATGTAGCTAATTATTTTTTAAACAACTGTCAAGCAAAACTAAGTAAGTATTGTATTCATTATAGTAACACTAATACCATCTTACCAAATTCTAGCTTTACATTACATAAACTTTACATTTAATTATATGTTGATGTAATGGTCTTTAGCAATGCTTGCTCATTAAGTATGTAAGGAGGGTATTTTCTGTAATCTGAAAGCTAAGTGTTGATTAACGCATCCACGATTTGTTAAAAAGCAAAACATTCATTCTTAAAAGCACCATATATCTATGAACTCCAAGTCCGTTATCCTCAAAAACCTTTTACAACCATACATTTAAGAAAAGATTTGTCTCTACTAATAGCTACTGCTACCACGATGGGAGCAGACTTTAATAGCAGTGTGTCATTATTGACAGGGCTAGAAAAGGGGTTTATGTTTAAAAATGCAAAATATGTACCTATAACAAAACAGATATAAGGTAAGTAAAACCAAAATATTCTGATAACAAAAATACTGGTATTAGAAGAAAATACTACAGCACTAGATTTTTGTGAACTAAAAAGGGAATCTTTTTTCATTTGGGATGCGTGTCTATTCCTTGAACGCTTACAGTTATGCATAGCAGAAATCATTCTCCTGCTGTTCTGGCTTAGAAAAAGCATTCATCCCGTTTTAACTTTTTCACTTACTGTGAAATGCATTTTCTTCTAAATATTCTGGGGTTAGAATGTTTCCTTCCTGCTCGCTCTTTTTTTAAACACTATTCCTATGTATTTTGCAGCAGTAACTTGAAGCCTACTTGCTGTTGATAATTTTCAAAGCCCTTACTACGTATGTGGATACCAAAAACTAATTTAAGAATCCAGCCTTGCTCTGACTGGAGTTAGTGAAGATTTACCTTTGACTTTAAAAAGCAGGGTCAGGCCCCTCGGTCTAAAAAGAAATTGCAGAACAGTCATGACTGCCTGTAAGAAACAGTTGCTGAACATAAAGTACAGCAGCTTAGCGTAGTCAACAGACAAAAATAAATTTAAAACTCTTACTAATGACAGCAGGAGAGCTGAGGATGATACACATTAAAAACTAACAAAACAACATGCATCTTGTTATATAGCTGTTATCAGGGAAGCAAGGGTGATGGACTGTGGTAGCAGTAAACGCTTGTATTACCAACTGCTGCTGAATAGCCTCATGGCGCTGTTTTAGAAGTTCTTCTGTCCTCTGGAGGATACCATACTCAGCTGTAATTTCTGCTATTTCCAGTCGCTTCTTTTTATAAAACGTGTTTTTGCTCCGGAGCTTATTAACATAGTGTTTAAACTGGAATGAGAGAGAATAGAAATATAATTTAACTTAAAGCAAAAAAGGGCCTTATCACAGACTGTTGCCATATAAAATGTAATTATCCTATTTGGACTGCATATTGAAGATTAAGTGTTTAGAACAGAGGACTGGAATTCAGGATTCCCAGGGTCTATTTATTTTCAGCTCTGCATTTGTTCACTGAGTGAGATCAAGAAAAGCAGCTCTATTGCTTTCTGTTCCAGCTCACTCATTTGTAATAGTGAGATCATTTGGTTCTGCTCACCATTTGACAGTTGGAAAAGTAATTACTCTTTGCAAAATGTTGTGAGAATCATGGACAATAAAAAAAGTTCATGTAATAGTAATTTGCACTTGCAACAGAGCACCAGATCAGCAGTGTGTAGCCCCAAAGAGCTCTGCAGATCAAGAAACACGATACGAAAGCGCAGAAAGATTGGAAGAGAAGAGGGCATGGGAAAAAATGTTTCTAAATGCTAGTTCTCAATAGTTAAAATTTGTTTTTCTCTTCGCTTGACTCTTGCAGACCTAGATGATATCACTGGCTAAGTTTTAAAAAACAGGAAAATAAAAACAGAGTCCTTGCATAGAAGCAGGGAATGCAGTATATATTTCACCCAAAATCTAAAGTAATGGAGAATTTATATTTTTATTAAATACTAAGCAAAATAATACATATCCTTACAGATCAACAGCTTTAGCTAATATACATACGAATCACTGTGTGCTCAATTTGTAACACACACAAAATACCAGGTGTTGAAACAAACATGTAATATTTTTCTTTGCCTTAATGTATTCCATCTGTCCAACAGGCTTAGCTCTTATTCTTGTATTTTACGTGAGAGCTGTGAGGCAAGTAACAGTCACAGCTCAAAAATGCATTCAGACGCAGAGATGGAAAGCAAATAAAATTTTTTAGAGTAAATGATGTAAAAACAGGCTTCAGAATGTTCCTTGACAAGGAGGGGTTCAGCATGTGCAGAGAAAGCATAAAACAGGCAGCCCCAAGGAGAAAATAGGAGTCCCACTACCACTGATAAAAGTTTAAAACTCAAACATAAAAGAACTCAGATTTTGAAATTTACATTAATTTTTCTTTTTGCAAAATTAGGCCTCTCCCTTCTAAAGAATAAATCCAAAAAACCAATGTGACCACAGCCTAAGAACCCCAGAGTAACTGTATGTTCTATAAAAAGTGTCCTGGGCAACATGCCCAAAATGAAATCAACCCTGTTCATCTGCCATCCTGTGCAATATCTAGGCCAAAGCTGCTTCTCTCTTGCTATGCTCCAGAACTATTTTTAAAGCCAAAAGCTATAAACGTTTTTGGTGAAAGAACAAACGCACAAATTACTCAATGTGCTCTATGCAGATTGGACTATGTGTGGCTTTGGAATACCATTTTACATGGTGCGTACTACCTAGGACAAGGATAGACAAGGTCACCTAAGCCACGGCACTGCACAGCGGAGGCAATTCTGTTACAGTCATACTGTCTTTGTTATATTATTGGCACACTTAATATAGTATTACAGGAATTAATTATTTTTCACAGCAAATTCAAGTATATCCTTTTAGTTAATGCAAAAGACTTTTTTTTTAATTGCGTAGACAATACCAAGTTTTCTGTGATTTTCAAGAGATTATGAAAGTATAGATACAATCTCTACAACTAACTGAGGAAAATGTAAGGGAAGCAGAGTCATCCCTCTTGATCGAGCAGTTCCAGAGATATTTCATTTGACCAGTGGAATATAGTAAAGAATGATGTAAAGGATTAAACTTACTTAATATGTGACCACCTGCAGCTATCAAATTTGAATGATTTTCTGTCAGTTTGTCCCAGGATGAAAAGCAAACTATTATTCTCTTCACTTCTATAGCTACTTTTAAGGTCTTGAAAATAGCTCGAGTGGGAGGTAGAGTATTTGCATATTCAATATTCAAAGCATAATGTATTTTACAATGGAAGTCAAAGGATTTTGTTGATTAAAGAACTGATTCCAGCAATGTTCTATTATTAGTTGATTAAGTTAGGGCTGTATAATAAAAATTTCATCCAAAATGAACTACAAGTCGCTCACATTGACAAGCGAAATCTATTCATTTTAGGAGATGGATGTCTATCTTTCATCGCAATCTCTGGCTTTTTAAAAGCAAACTTAACCTTTCACATAGCTTTTATTGCAGCAAACAAGGTAAAACAAGATATAAACAATGGCAGAAAAATTATAATAGCTGTAGAAAATCAATCAATAGTTTGGCAGAATTTTCAAAAGACTTCATCTACTCCAAACGCAGCAGAGATTAGCCCCTCAAAATCTCACTAACTGAAGGTTTCTTTAGATCCAGGGCCAAATTCAGAGCTGGAGTTATTAGATTTGACTCCACTTAAATCAGCAGCTTGTAGGGATCTTATGGCAAAATTAGGTTTCTTCAGCCTAAAAGCTGAGAATCATTCCGTAGGGTTCCAGAAATTAAAAATAAGCTTCTTGTAAAATACCAGTGCTTTCATTTGTGTAAGCATTACTTCTGAAACTTTATACATCTCATGCTCCCATCCATATGTAGATGAAAAATCAAGCCCTTAAAATGCTATAAAACATTGTATTTTACTGCAGTAAAAGGTCTTTTAAATAATTTGAATAGTTCACAAAAGAATAACATTGTCTAGCCGTATCACTTTAAAGTTAACTAACCAAAAGGAATCCATTTTTGAGCAGCAGCATTTTCCCATAGACCAGGTCAACTGCTCCCTGCGTAGAAACTCAGCAGGCTCAACCTACAGAATTCCCACGGATCTGTCAGTGCCCGCAGTGATGTACCATTCAAGGCTACATCCACGAGTAAGCTTTTCTTTTTCAAGCAACTTAACACAAATAGTTGTTTAAGCTTCAAAGATTAAATGACTGGACAAGAACCAAATGCTGGCACTGAGTTAGCAGTTAAAGTAAACAAGCCTGGAGACCCATGTTTGCGAGCCGAGTCGGAGCCCCCTGAGATATAAAAACTATCCAAATGAAAGCAAAGAAAGATTATGCTTTTTTACTTGGCTATTTTTATGGGTGACTGTAACATAACAAGCGTGGAATCTAGATTATGAAATAGAGTGAATGAAAACAGGACTTTGATCTCTCGTATAATGTCCTGCCGCATGCAGGTATCTAGCATCCCTGGGCAGATTTCCTGTATTATGGTCCATTTTTATTGAAAGAATCCAACAATGCTAGTACTTTACGCTTCTCCACTTACTACAATCTGAAAGTCATTGCTATCAACAGATTAAGTCTTACCACACTTTTGTGAAGTAATTAAGTATTATGACAATTCTAAATACAACAAAATCGAATCATGGCTATTAAAATGGCTTCTCCAGGACCAGACAGAGTCTGGCAGGTTATCCCCCTCCAGGAAAGAATATAAGCGTGTTGACCACATGCTTCAGTGCATTGCTGAATTGAGATCAAAGCCGGCTCCTCTAACGCTTAGTCTTACGCTTTCACTATAAGCCCATCATTTCGTCTCCTTAAAACTAACAGTTGCCCCATGTGAAGTTTTCACAAGGTTCTTATTCCAAATTTATCATTAAAGGAGCAAATGGGTAAGTCTGTTTTCAGAAAAGAACAAATCCCAAACTAATCCCTCACTTTCGAGTCAATCTTTAAAAATAGTATTTTCTGGATTACTGTACCAATTTGATTGTGTTACAGTAATTGAAATATTCTTCATCAAAAGTACTACAGAAGATGAAGTATTAATAGTAAAAAAAAAAGATTTCTTTCTGACATGCATAATCTAAACAAGGTTCCAAATAAACAGTTTTGTTAATAACATTATTTGCATAAGCACAATAATCGCAGAAAATTTTAGCTGACTATCTCTATTTTTATTAAGAATTGAGGAACAGATGTTTTCATTTTCTAACTAGACCAATTAACGGGATACACACTGTCCCAAGTATTAAAATTCAGTTAGGAAAAGTTCCTGATCATGACAGATTTTCAGCATTTTTTCCTAAGAGGCTCTAAATTTAAGCTTGTACAGCCACTGTTGGATATAGTTAATAACTCATACACAGAAGGACAAAATTCTAAAAGATACGAACAGTATTACCTCAATCTATTAAAATGAAAGTATCCTACAGCTTGCTCATTAGATAGATCAATCAGGAAAATTCTTCATTAGCATTAAGTAGGATACCTCTTCTAGGAGTGCTTGCTTCCGGTCAAGAAAGAAGTATTAAAGAAGCCAATACTAATAATTTGGATCAATCAGAATATTTTTAATGAAAAACCATTTTCAGTTACCACTGAAAATCCACAGATCAATAAAATTGATGATTTATTCATGCCAGTGGGTGCTGAAAGAGCATTCAGTTCGGTGCAGATTTGTCTGAATCACTGCATACATTTGGCTGAAATGGTGGCTAACTTCTTACAGCAAAAAGCTTCCGGCTTCTGTAAGAATCCTACAGATTTGCCACTTTTGTTCTCACAACTCGACTACCAGCTACTCTCCTATTTTCATGTGTAAGGAGCCTTTGACACACAGGAATATAACTGTACCTAGAACCTTATTGAAAAGCTAAAAGAAAGATAGCAAACTGACAGGATAATATATCCTGGGTCCTGGCTTAAACCATTTAATGTTTGAGTCGTAAGCTCCTTTATCGCTGCTCTCTTAAAATCCTTCCACCTAGTTTGGACCTAGATAACTGTTTCTGGTGGATTCAGATAGACCCGACAGTTTTAGAGGAAAAGTGACAAGCTCTATGGTCCAAGACTGACTTGTTTTCTCTGTTTGCAAATTGAAACATTTTTATATTGTTTTACCAGGGGGCAGGTAGGCATGGATGAGCACTTGTACGAAAAAAATTAAAATCCTTATGTAAATGAATATGCAAACCTCGTATATCTGTTAACAAACTGACAGGACTTTATATGCCACGTTCTCAAAAACATATTCATTTCAACTACTGTAGCTAAGCACAGCTATGATACTATTCTATTCTGATACCTTGGGAAAGTCTAGGTTCTTGGGGCCTATGCTGAACTCTGAAAAGTACAATGCGTTGTGTAAAGAGCTAAAAATATCACAGCTTTACCTAGGATCACTTGTAATTGAACCATCTAGCCTTCTAAGTGTCAACATTTGATTCCCTAATTTTCAGGATCTGACAGCTGCAGCTAGGAGCCTGCCAACTTTGCCCCATGCTCATTGTACTTTGTTTGAAGTACTTAAAAAGATTTCATAATCCCTGAAGCAGACAATTTATTCCTACTTTTTTGTGCTCGATGTAAATGAATTGATTATTCCCTGCTGTTTCTTCTAAGTTCTATCTAGCGGTACAACCTCTCCAACCAACTGGAATGCTGTAACATTCCTTTTTATGATTACAGAAGAAAGCAAAACACTAGCACCTAAAAACATAAGCCAGGATTGACCTTTTAGTGAATGAAGTGCTAAGAAGACCTCAAATGGAGATCCAAATACTGGTATGGGAGCACAAGCTAGGGAGGCACTGATTCTTCGATTGCCAAGTCTTGCGAGTGCCATGATATAAGAGGATACAGCAAAGTGAGACAAAGAGATGAGAAATACTGGGTATAGGAGAAAAATAATTCTTTGATTTAACTAGCATTTAGAGAGGTTAAACATGGCAGGATTAAAAGCCCATTTTAAACTTAAGACAGCAAAACTATTTGATAAAAACCCTCTTTCTTCCTCTTTGAAAATGGAGGAACTAAATGTAAAATGTGTGTGACTGCAAAAAGAAAGCATAAGGAAGCTCGCGATTGTCAGAGTGTGCAAAGTGCAGGTTGAATGTACAACCTCTTTCTGTCCCCATTGAACGTCTGTATTGCAACAGTGACTCACCACTACTACATTAATCAAGATTTCCTTCGGTATTGGCTCAAAGCTGGAGTAAGAGAGCACTGAATCAGAAAATACAAATGTTAAAGCATAACATATCAGAAACAAATCGATAGCAAAAGGTTGTCTGATGAGTGATGAACCAAGACTTTTACTGATGAGAGATAACCTGTTCACTTCACTTTTGCTTCATCACCTCTTCCCTGCCAACCTACTTGTCTCATCTATCAGTCCTGTCTTCTCACAACCTAGACTCTAAAGCAGGACTGTTTCTATAATATGCATTTGCAATGTACTTTAAGGAGATACGAAGACTATAGTACCAAGGTCCTATGCAGCATTTTTGGCAGCAGACATTTACAAAAGAATTAAATATCACTGTCTCCATTTTCCAGATGAGAAAACTGTGACCTTTGAAAAAGAAGCTATCAAAATCACCAAGAATTCAAATTCTTTCCTAGTTTTTAGCCATAGGAAAGACACTTTTTACTGCTTTACACCGGTGCCCCTGAGCACCACTACAATATACCTAATGCAGTAATAAACAAGAACAGGACACGGATTGTCTAATACTGGCTTCCTTGGGCCTATGTGCAGAAAGTATTTTACAAAATAGGAAATGCTTCTTACGAAAAGACAAACACTTCTTATTTTAAGCTGACCGTTTTGTCCAAAGTGCTCAGTCGTTTATTCTTCACGCCTCAAAATGAAGACTTGAAAAGATTTAAAAAGTTAAAAGCAGAACATACTTTAACAAAAGGAATGCAGGTTATGTTCAAAACAGGCCTCGTCTTTTTTTTGTCTTGAGCCTCTTCCTTGTGTAAGACAATTAACTCAAAGTTTTCATTATTAAGCCTCTTACGAGGTTCTGTAACCATGTTTCCTTCCTACCCTGCTCTTCTTGAATTACTATGGATCAGATTATGTTGTCCCCCTCAAGAACAGGCACAACATTAATTATTTCTTACCTTACAGTGCATTTACAGATAATGTAAAACATATGTTGCTGTCTTGGTAATGCATTCTTCTTGATTAATTAAACACTTCTTTCCCATCATATGTCACGAAACACAGATTGTCTGCTTTCTGTTTTTATTTTTACTTAAAAAGTTGTCAAAGACTTCAGCAACATGCCCACTGGGGTTGAAAACCTTGTAGTGGAGAGAAATCTAATGCAGTGGTCTTCCTATGATTGCTACCTATGGAACACCTATGGAATGTGTGTAGTATGCTATGATACGAGAAATCAACATCTTAATTCTTCAAAGTCTCTGTGCCTTTGCTTCCACCTGTAGTTTTCATCTTGATTTACAGAAGGGGAGAAAGGCAAGAAGGCACAAGTGAAATATGCATATTACATATTACACAGGAAGTCTTTATGCATGAGTGTACACATACACATTTCCATACTTGATTCACTCTTTAAAACTCCTTTAAAAGAAAACCGATGTTTGTGGAGCAAGCATGTCCTATGGGATCAGGAAGGGAGTTCCTTCTACAAAGGGCGTTCCCTGTATTGAGTAGTATGTAAAAAAAGAACAGAAACAGACAAAGAAAAAGAAAGCAAAGAGTGTCACTCTTGATAAATGATGGCAGTGCAAATTAATGCAATGTGAAGGGAATGAGAAAATATATTAATTCAGAGAATGACGCAGCTAAAATACCCTCTGCTTTAGTGATTCTGCCTGTAAGTACACTTAGCAGGCTTTTCCCAAGCTGAGGAAAATTATTGTCTTAAGAAAAGTCAACTCCTTTTGCTGACAAACCACTACCCAGCTGCAGCAGTCGTATTCTATGCAAACTTTTGAAGTAGAAAAAGCTGCTTTGGTAAGTACAGCTTCAAATATAACTTTGCCTGAGCTATGCTGATCGTGCTAGTCAAAGTCTGTATTGCAGATAAACTTCAGGAGGGCCTGGGAATTTTTTTTTAAGTAAAAACTTTTGTGGGTAATAAATACAACAGAACTAACTGCATTTCTGATAATTGCTGGTATTATGCTTTATGATCATATATCATACAGAGAACGCAGATTTTTATTATACATCAAATAATAAAATTAATCTACATGACTTATCACTTGAACTCCTAACCGCTTCATTAGTCGTCTTGACTTTTATAATTAGTTATTTACCATGATACCATGGTGATGTGATGATATTGACATTATTTTGACTCAGAGTCTGGAAGGATAAGACAGCCCAACATTAAGTCCTCATATACCCTTCACTCTATTAGATACAATATGAATAATGAAATTAATAATTTGAAAATAGCTACAAATCAAGCACTGCTGCAGTATAAATATTGGAAAGCATCTGAAAGCACCAGACAGCATTGTACTATCTGCATATTAAAAAAAAAAGTCTTCAAATACGTTAGTTTTGGAATTTGATGACAAAAAAAAGTGCATTAAAAAAAATGGAGGCCAATCTGTTGCAATGCTGAGGCCACATAGTTTGACAACATACTATAAAAATGGATAAGATACCGTAGAAGCAGTTATTGCAACGTAAAGTTAAAAGGAAATTGTGAGTTAACAAAAATTGATCCACCTCTTACAAATTTCCTCTTCCTTATATCCACTGTTACATTGCATACCTCATCCCCTTTCAGAACTTCAGAGCCTTCTAACTCATGGGCCTGACTGGTCTTCTGTAGCATCTGCCTTTCGGTGCTGGACATCTCTTCCTTAGCAGCCTGAAGTTCTTCTGCCTTGGCTTCCTTTTTCCGGGAAATTATAGATGCCTGCATGGTCATTAAAAATGGACAAGCATATGGAAAGTGAAGTAAAAATTGCCTTGTTTAATCATTAGTAAAATGTAATCCATTAAATTTCAGGCATTGCACCACTGAAACCACATTTTAACTGTCAGAAACTGATTTTCATTAGGAAATCTGAGCATGTCTCTTTGCAAAGAAGAAAGCATTGATTACGCATTTTATATAGTGGGTTAAACCACAACTTCATTGAAGTTGATTACAGACTCCCAACTTTCTTCAGTACGGCTGAGATTTCAAGCATTCCCTTTTCTCCCAGACTCCTGTTGATATATTTTACATTTTACATTTACATTTCTTCACCTCATTTTTTCATTTTCATTGAAGAAAAAGGTAGGCATTTTAGCTGCTCCATTTCTTCTACTTAGTCCCTTTTTGTGCATATGTAAGATACACCAACATGGCTTAACTGGAAAGTAATCCAAGATTTCACAAATGTCATAATATAGATTTTTATAACTCCAACCTACTCCAACCTACAGAAATATGTTATACTAACAGCAGAACCGAGCCACTAAATCTTGGCAAATAGCTAGAAGACGATGAATAAAGCAATACAGTACAGAAATAGTGTAGATTAGATTCTTCCTTTTTTTTTTTTTTGAGTCTAGAAGATAAAACATTTAAAAAATATCTTATACACGGCAGAATATTTAAGAGTACCTAACATTTGATCAGAAGCTAACGGATTTGGGAACATAAGTATACATTAGTTTAGGGAAAAAAAAAGCATTTTTATCTTGCCAAAGTATACTATTTGAAAATATTTTAAAATAACACAATACATTAATTTAGATGCATGCGCATGAATTTGGAGGCATGGTTGGTTTCTTCATATGAAGGGGAAAACTTAAGAAAAAATGAAGCAAAATACACACTGACTAGGTTAAAAGGACCAGCTTTATTTCTAAAAATATATCTAACAGAATTCTGCTGGGGTAGTATCTCAGCTCTTTGCTTCATGAGATATCTGCAGTGACAAATTGTGGTACAATATATATGATTATTTTGTGAAACAGAAGCCAGTCCCTAGCAGAACAAAGCAAAGACCACCACATGCTTTCAACTCACAGCAGCAACCTGAACTCCTGGAGTGGTTCCTCCATTGAACATAATTATATCACAAGCCAGTTGGTCTTTGGTACCAGCACATGATGTAGCAGGCTTTTCTTTCAGGAAGAAGAGCATCTCTTACAGAACAAAATGTGCGTTTCATATTGCATATGTGATTGAACTGCAGCATACATTTTATCACAGTTTTTTTCCTCCCACTGATACATTTTACTTAAGCCTTTTTATTTTTCAGACCGTCACCATAAGCATCATCATGAAAATCTTCAATAAAATCAGCAGCGGTACGGGCTGCCTGAAAAAGAAATCACTTACATTTCTGCGTAAGCTCTGAAAATCTCAGAGTTCATAAATCCTTTTTATAACTTGTGAATTTACTAAGACTAGACCAGACAGCCTATTTTATAGAAAGACTATTTATAGCCTTAGGATGAAAAATCAAAGAATACCTTCTTAATAGATGTAAGGGGAAAAATAGCATGTGGTCAAACACAAGCAAGGGATATAACTGAAAGCAAGCCTTGCATCCAGGTCTGACTGCAGCAGTCAGCCCACATGCAGCCTTTTAAGAATCTGTCCACAGCTGGAGCTTTACCAAAATATCTCCTCCAAAATGATCCTTCCAGAATTACTGCGATACAGCTGAAGGGCAATACCTAACAGCTTAAGGACAGCGGTCAATACAAACTCACTAACATGACTGAAAGCAATTGTCTGACTCAGCCCTAAACATACGTGTGTTCAACAGCTATTTATTTTCTTTTTGTCCTCCATTATTATGTATTTCTACTGATTTATACTAAATAAATTAAAAGAAAAAAATCAGTATGTAAAACAATCAGTGACTGAAATTGCTCTACTGCTTCTGCTTAAAAAATGTTTTGTTCCTTCTTACCTGTTGGCGATACATGGAAAATTTACTATCAATTGGCTCATACTTCATCATTCTTTTCTCAATAAGCTGATTCATTTGTGCGTTTACTTCATTTATCTGCAAGACAGAGTAGAAAACTAAGGAAATCGAGCTTTATTTCTTTGTCTTCTCCAAGAACTAAATGCTTTGCAAACCAGATTTACAATCCAGCTAGTTCAATTTTTAAAACAGAGAAACAAACCCAAAAACCTTAATGAGTCATTAAGTATTGGCCAGGAAGAGGCTATGTTTTTGGATTTCCAGTTCTGTGCCTTTATGATAAGGCAGAAGCATGACGTTGGCCTTGAAAATGAAGCAAACTGCTGTACGTGGAGAGCAAATGCATGTGAATTGGTACAAAAAAAAGACTGATGTTGTCACATACTGTGTGAAAAATGTAATTTTATCAATATTAACTAAAATACCTTTTCACTCAACCATTTATCAGAAGTTAAAAGGGGAGCAAATAAAGACTAAGGGATACCAAATTTCATCAATACTTTGAAGAGTCACAGACCGTCATATTCCAGCTCTATGGTATCTTCTTTCTTCTGCCACAAAATGCACTTGTTTGTCCATAGTCTCAAATTGTCGATCTTCATTCTAGCCGAAGCTTTAGAGCCTACTGCATCTGGAAACTCATAAACAGCCACACCAGAGTACTGATTGCAGCTTTTCCAGTCCTGACTTAATGCTACACTGGGACTCTCATCAGCCATGGAAACCACAGCCCTAGCAACCTTCCTTTAATTCTCTGCTAACTAGATGAGTGCTGATAAGCAAGCAGTGTAAATATGTGCTGAAATCCAATGAAGTCAAAACGTAACGCAGGTACAGTGCTGGGCATTACTCTAACATTTCTATTAGCAATATCTGAGTACTTTGAAAGCTAAGTATTTTAAATAAAGCGCTCAATAGGACTAAAGATACTCCAACACCTGGAAAAAAAAGATCTCCTGTGAATTCTATTCCTTTACAAAAGCTAGAACAGGCCTGAATTTGAAGACAGCATAAGAATTCCCTTCTGTGAATAAATTCCTGTTTTATATATTATAAAATGCATGATAGTAACATGCTTAGTGCAATTCAGCTCCTTTTTAAGACACTGAGATAATAGAAGGCTGACTTTTTAAAAAAATGCTGTCTAAGGCCATGCTGTGATAACATCCAAGCATATGACATGTTTTTATTACCTATTAAGAAGAACATACTTCCAAAATACAACAAATTAAAAGGTTACCTCATGGAGAAAGAGGAAAAAAAAAAACTTGAAGCTTTTAAAAATATTGCCAAAAACCCAACAATACTCTTGGAAAAAAAAGGTGCAAAACAGGGCTTCAACTATGCCTAAAAGAAATAACTGCAACCACAAATATTGTTTTGATTAGAAGAAGTAAACTAGGAAAGCAGAGGCTGAATCACAGAGCTAGTTTAATATTTCAGACCAAATCTACAGTTTAATAACGCTGTCATCCTTAAAAGTATAACGATCAGGACCCAAAACGGCATAGGGCTGTCACTGATTTTACTTTTACAAAAACTAGTCTTAACCTTAAAATAGAATGTATTCTTGATGACATTTGATTGCTGATTCTCGTCTGATCCAAAAAACCTGTAGGCATTTCTTCATTACATTACTTTGGCATGTTCTATGTGTGAATGCACAGGCTACTGTCATATTGATGTAGTTACTGAACCTCTCTCTGCTTCAAGACACAAGAAGAATGGTGGATGGCAGCCCTCAAGCCCATGGGTAAATCATTCTCTGATCTATTACAAATACTCTGTTTCCTCAATATCTGTATTTCACAGCAAAGCCTGAGCATTGGAGATCCTGGGAATATTAAAAACCAACTGGTAAGAGAAGGAGAAGACATTTAGACTGAAGAGTGTACCTAGAAGAATGTAGGACTAGTCTTCCTACCCTAGCTAACATTGTTGTAAATTTTTATCATCATCAATAGAAATACTAATAATTAGTATTCCTCTAAATTCTTCTACAACATAATATTACATATTTAATCTTTCATTTAGGATTATGCAAATATGGAAACTTCATTGAGTGAAATATATAAATGTACTTCCGTGGCAAAAAAACCCTCTGCACATTTTGGATATATACCACAAATAAGGATTTTTGCTCATTCTAACACCGTTTGCTTTTAACTTCTGAAAAAATCTGGAAAGGTAAATCAAGTATTTGATCCCCAAATTTCCTTTGGTCTTACCAACTAAAACAAACGATACAGACCTATTCCAAACACTAAAACATTCTCAGCCATTGCACATGGATTAAGACATAATATTGCTGAAGATGTATCACTCAGAGAATGTTGTTCACCACTCCATAAACACTCTCTATATGTTGGTATAAACTCCCTTGATGTCAGTGAGAGTTTAAAACAAGTGAAAACGGAAGAGAGGAAAAATCAAACCTTTAGTGCTAAATTAACATCTCTGCTCATACCATTGCAAACTGCGAACACAATTTTCTAAATAGCATTAAAGGATAGGGTTAGGTTTGGGGTTTGTTTTGGGTTTTTGTTTGTTTGGTTTTGTTTGTGGGGTGTTTTTTTTTTTTTTTAAACTTATCTAAGAGGTTGCATTTAGTGATTAACACAGCTTCTTTTCTTTTACAACTGAAGGGATGTTCCTTTGGGAATGAAACATTTTCTTAAGGATATAAAGTAGGAATAAGAAAACTACAGTGTACAAGAACCTTAGGCTATGCTACGGAACACAAATGAAGTGTGACTTTGGTCAACTCACCTTGATTTCAAGTACATTGAGATCAGATTGACTCATAGCTGGCTCTGCAATCACCTTTTGTAAGAAATATGCTGAATTCTTCTTACTTGCAAGCTCTCTAGGTATTTTTTCAGTAACCAGGTATGAATTGAAATTTATCTCCTCTTCTAGTTTCTTCATTAAACCTTAAAAACAAATTAAATCAGTGTGTGTCTATAAAAGTAATGTAGCGGATAATTAAGTTTGATTTCACCAACACATTATTTAGCAGCAGATTACAATAACAACAGCAAACATTTGAGTCTTCTTTTCAACGCTCAAAGAAACAGGTAGTTACTTGATTTAGATTTTTAATCTGGATGTTAAACAATATAATATGTCGTATTATCCATCTGTATCTCTAACATATAGCTATTAACTCCTTCACAGATTCTCTTCATCAATAAACAAGTAAAACCCTTCTTACATGAAGCTCTAGCTGAACCAGATGCAAAATTCAACATGCAGCATTGGTACAGAAAGCCATAAACCCTATGTGTGTCTTACATCCTGATATTGGATTCTATGTTCCTTTTTTTGTGTTGTGAATTACATTCTTCTGAAATTTTAAAAGTTAAGAGCTAGACTTCGGTTGCTGATGCACATGCAAGATGAGGGGCAGCAAAGCATGTCACAGCTATGCTGACTTGCTCAGAGCTTTTTTGAAGCTTGTATCCCTTGGAACTTCCCTGGCTGGAGCAGTGCAGCAACCATCCTGAAGTTGGCCCTACTCACAGATTGCTTAAGTCATTGTTTCGTGTGAATTACTTCATCTACAGACAGACATTATCTCTGTGTTAATCCTTTATCTGTATAAAGGTCATAATTTGGCCTAGCTCATGCATAGATTTGTTATATCCTTGGAAATTCTCCCCTAAAATAAACCTTTAATCTGGCATCTAAAAAGGCCTTAAAATGAGCAGAATTTAACGTCTATCTACTTTAAGGGTCTGGAACACTTAAAAATTGCCTCTCTGTAAATAGCAGGCTATTTTTTCTTGTAAGAACAAGCGTTTAATCTCAGGACAGTACATAGACTGAGAATGCTGAAAATAATAATAAAAAAATAGAAAAAAACAAGAAGGAATTCCTGACTAATGCCAAAAATTCTGTTGAGAAGAGCAACCCTATTTATAAGTTTTGCTCTACACAAGCCTGATGCACACTGCATGTTACCATGCTTATGATGACTTGGCTTTTGCTAGGGAGAGTAATTTAGCCTCCTTAACAGTTAATTTATAAATAAACACAGGTACATACAGATAAGAACAACACACAGTTAGAAAAATACGACAGAATAAAATAAAGCATCTATTTAAATTACATTACAGAGTCTTCTGCTAACAACAGGCAGTTTAGTGCAATTACTCCTCTGAGACACCTGTGCCAAGGACTACAGTAAGATTTGGAAGTTATATGTCAGATGAGAGTGGGAATAGGTATTTCAGAATATTTTTCATGATCTAGATGACTAAAAGGTAAGTATCTTAGGTACTTTTAAAAACCACTTGCTAGGGTTGGGTTTGGTTTTTTGGGGGGGGTGGGGGGGTTGGGGGGGTCTGGTTCTCTCCATATTTGGGAGAATATGGAATTGCCATGAAATGCCAAGAAAAACAAGAAATTCACAATCTCTGTCTCTTCCATATACTGTACAAGCAGAGAAAAGCTTGAGTACAAAGATACAACAGTACAGCTGATGTTGCTGAAACAGAGATGGGAAAGGATGTAGGTGAAAGCAGAGTTTTTGGTTCTCGGGCTAAAAAGCCTGCTGACCGTATCACTGACTGGCAAAAGGAAAAGGTCAAAACAAAGTGAAATACAAGCCTAGGAAAAGGGGCCCCTGTTATTCTGCCGCTATTTACCTCTAGAAACACCGTACTGATAGATCCTCCTCACCCTTGCTCTCAGCTCAGACTGAAAGGAAAGCTACTTGGTTTAGCTGCCAGAGAGGAAATAAGCCATTAGTTCTAGAGAAAGCCTCAAGAACTAGAAGAAAGAAAACAGACCCTAGGGAAAGCAGTGTTGTTAACAAAGTCAAGTCAACACACACTAAAAATGAGTGGGAATTCCTCTTTTCCAGCAATTTAGGTTGTTGATTTCTGTGTTTATGAAAAGCAACACTACCACATGATCTTTTCCCCTTCGTGGAAAGGTCATTTATCTTGTGCAAAACAAACAGCATCAATACTGGTTTCAGAATGGTAAGCGGAGTATGCAAAAGCCATTATATACTTGGCACCACAGCTATACCCTGAGAAACACACTTGGACTTACTGAAAGAGAATTCCCACTTCTTCCTTCCAGAACAACTCGACTCCAGTCTTCCTCAGCCCATGACAGAGCTGGGCAGGAGGGACCACATCTTAATGTCTCACTAGAAATCTACCACCTCTGTAAATGCAGCAAAGCTTCCCACGTACACTGTGAGCTGAATTATCACCTCAGAACTGACGAGGAACACAGCTCCCAATTTGATATTTGTAACTGAGATCTTTGGTGTGGAAATCAAAGTGATATCAATTAAATTATTCTTATATTAAATATTAATATTTTAATTTCATTTTTTAATTTCTTGCTTTCCTCTTGATAGCAAAAAAAAATCTGCATGTATAGCCTATACTTTATTTCTTGTACTACTCCAGTTTTCTTATAAAAATGTACTTGCCTAAATAATTTATTGTAGATATGACACTAAACTCAGGAAATAACCATGCCTAAACAATCGCTTTCATAAGAGCGGGGACCTACTGACTTCACAGGGTATAACGTTGATCACTATCTAGATTTATTTCTCAGATAACCTGAGAGCTATTACCACCTTCTTTTAACCACTGACTGGTTCTGCATCATGCTTACTCTTGACGGTGCAACAAGCAATGAAGCAAGTTAAAACTTGACACCTCAATGGGAAAAGACACGATGATGTCAACATCCCTCATGACTAATGTAGTTTCTTTCCTAAATACTTTGGATATATTTTTCCTCCTATACAATTCAACATATGGAGGAGTAACTACCTAAGAACTATTTTTGCTCTTAACAGAACCTTAAAAAACAAAACATAGGGCAGCTCTTGTTTTATTTTTTTTTCAGTGAAAAACATTCTTTTTTCAAATTCCCAGGCTAGAGGAAAGAAAAGCAAGCATACTTTAAATCTTTCCATTACACATATAAATTCTGTTTTTAATGTTTTAACATTGACTTACAGTTACAAAATCTACATACGTAAGCTGCACAGAAAGTCTGGCTCTGTGCCCTAAGGTTATTTTAGTAAGGCTCTGCCAACCACGTATTTACATGTGGAGCGCTATTAACAGCAACTCCTCATGTTTTCCATTCAAATTTTTTTATTACTATTATTACAAAGAGAGGGATGGGAGAAAGAGTTTCTTAATGCTTGCTCAGTCATGTAGGAAAGAAGCAAGTTTCCCTCCAGAATTCTGCTAATGGATCTAAAAGTTGATTCACCTTGTGCTCAGATTCCTACTTCTCTCCACAGGCTACCAAAACCATTTGCAACAATAACTGATTTTTTTAAAAAGGGAAAAAACCAAAAAAAGAAAAGAAAGAGGAGCACTCATTTCATAGACTTATCTGCCAACACTTCGTATAATATCACATAGGAAGGCCACGACAAATGCAGGTCTAGAACAGACTTCCACGTGGCATTCACTTACATCAAAGCCTTCACTTCCCTTTCTGCAATCGTCCTCAGAGTACTGAAATTATTCCATCCACAGCTTTAAAGATCTCACTTACAACTTCCCTGTATTAAACAGAGTCCTGGGACATGCAAACACTGACAGATTATGATCAAATCATCCTTTTGATATCTCCCTGAAAAACTTAAAAGCTTCCTGAATTTGCCATTTTAAGTTATGCTTTCCATGTTTACAATTATTATTGATGATCTTTGAAATCTCTCTGACCTTTCAACATTCTTCTTGAATTCTGGTCAATGGACACAGTGTTCCAGTGATGGACATATCAGAGCTAAAAAGAGAGTTAATATAACTCTCCTATTCCACTTTCTTCCATAAATAATCGCATGGATAGCATCTTTGACACTGGGAGCTCCAGTTCTACCATTTTTACACCATGACTCACAAGTCCTTTTCAGAGTCATTTCTTAGGAAAGAGTCCCACATGCTATAACTACATTGCATACACATTGTTCCTAGAGGAACACCGTGGCATTTGGCTATTCCTTAAAATACATACTGTTGGCATGTTGGCTTCCTAACTGATTAAGGTCACTTCAAATCAACAGTCTGCTCTCCTCATTATTGAGTCATTTCCCCATTTTTTTTTTCACCTGACAATTTCACCAGTAATCATTCGTTATTTTCTTTCAGGTATCTGATGTAAATACTAAACAAAAAAGAGCCAAACACTGATTTCTGCATGTCCCGATTAGAAACATATCCATTCGGTGATGATTCCCTTTCTAAAACTTTCCATAAACTCCTTTTAATCCTTTTAACATAGGTCATGTTGAATTTTTGCTGCCTTGTTTGTTCTTCAAAATGGGGTGCAAGTTAAGAGTCAATGGTCTTAAAAAAGTCAACCATAGCAATACTATTAATCTTACCAATCAGACTTGTATTCTCAAAGATACCAAGTTAGCTTAAAAGTGCTTTACCCCTGACCTTGCATCTATTGATAGTGACTTTATAATAAATAAAATCACTTAAAGATGGAAATAAAGTTCCACCTAAACCATTCTCCTTTATACAAATACAAATCTATACAAATACATCTATAACTTTAATTGTAATGTGGTCTGCAGTGTTCGTGGAGATAATTTAA